GAGGAAAGAAGGAAGGAAAAAGCGAGGGAGAAAGGACCCAATGTAGAAAATACATGTGAGCAATGAACTAGAAATGTGAATGCTGTGTCCATTGTGGCATTGTATAATTAAAAAAAAAAATCGAGAGATAGGTAAGGGTGCCAAAAATGACTACTTCTGTTTAAAGATTTTATTTCATTCCTAATTGGCATACAAAGTGACAGGTTTATGTCCCTCTTATACATAGTTTGGGTTGCTCTCCCTCCCTCATCTCCCTTGACTTCTGTCCCTGCCCTGCCGTATCCTTCTACCCCAGTATTTCCCTTTCCTCTCTCCTGTCACCCTGTTCTAGTGACCGCGGCAGCCCTCTCCCTTAAAGCTCTCTTACTCCTTCTCTGTGGCCCTTCCTAATTTCCTGGCCTCTGCCCACACTTATTCTCTGCTTAAATGCATACATGTAGTAATATCTATATCTATACCTATATATCACACGAGTGATCATGCAAAATGTTTCAGTATGAGCCTGGATTACCTTGCTTAATGTGTTATTTCCTGGCTTGATCCATTTCCCTGCAAGTTTCCTTTTTCTTGACAAATGAATAAAATTCCACTGTGTATATGGACCACGTTTTCACTGCCCATTCATCCATCGATAGACATCAATACCAATATAATTGCCTGGCTGCTGTGAAAACAGCAGCAGTAAACATGGCTATGCAAGTGTCTGTGGTAACCCAAGAGTCTTTGGGGTATATGCCCAGGAGTTCTATAGCTGGTGGGCACAGAGAAAGAAATGAAACTGCCAATCAATAAATTGGCCAATGAATTGAACAGGGATGGTTCTCAAAAACAGAAATAAAATGGTCAATAAATGCTTTTTAAAGCCGCAGGAAGCCAGTCAAGTCCTGAGCAACTGTAGTCTTGAGTGAGTGGAATCCTGAGTGAATGTGTATTGTTGACATGGGCACAGCCTTGCCAAGGACCCCAAAGCCTCAGCCAGGGGAACGGCTAAGCCTTCTCCAGGTGACGCCAGAGGGATGGAGACACCAGAGGGATGGTGCCACCTTCCTCTGAGTGCAAGATTGACCAGTGTGTAAAAAATCAAGCAATTGTCACTTCCTCCCCAGATGGTCGCAACCTGAGACAGCTTGCCTATGAACACCTACTACCAAGACCCGCCCCTTGCCCTCCTCCCCAGGCGCCCCCATCCCCTCTGCTCCCCCCTCCCTCCCCATGTATAATAAACTCAGTGAGGGTCCAGGTTGCTGCTGTGGCTGGCATTGCTCCAGCAGAGTGCACACAGCCCAGCTCAGCTTTTCAGTACCTGTGTATGTCCTCCTTCGTTCCCCATTACCGTTAGACAGGGTCCTAGGACCTAAGCCAGGTGGGTTACAGCACAGAGTGTTGGGCATATCCAGCCATCAAGGAAATGCAAATTAAAACTACGTTGACAGGCCATCTCACCCCTATCATCAAGAAAACAAAGGCTGGTGAGGATTCCGGGAAAGAACCATATTTACTTACTGGGGGACTGTAACTGGTTCAGCTACTGTGGAAATCAGTGGGAGGCTCTTCAAACATTAAAAATAGTACCGTGTTTAAAGATGTAGGAGACCCAGCATTCGGGAGGCAGAGGCAGTGGATCTCTGAGTTCAAGGCCAGCCTGGTCTACAGAACAAGTTCCAGGACAGCCAGAGCTACACAGAGAAACCCTGTCTCTAAATAACTAAGTAAAAGATATGGAGAAATGCTGGTGATAGATTAGAAAAGTGTCAAAAGCAATTAATGTCCTATGACCCATTCCTTAATCTGTAAATTGTTATATATTTTTTAATTTCTAATTGCTCTCATTTTGTTTTACTGTTGAATAATTTTTATGCTGTGGACAAAGAACATATTCTGTATGATATCACTTCTTTGAAATTTCTTAAAATTTCCTCTGTCTTTGGTACAAATTCAAAGTTTCCTTTCTATTCATTTGGTACCTGATGTTATACATGTAAGTACACATACAACAGTACTGAAATATAATATGCATATGTGTACACATGTATAAACATCTCTAGATTATCATTTCTATGTGGACTCACATATTTGTGTGTACATATAGTGTATGTGGGGAGTGGATGAAGTCCTGAGTGCATGTATTATTGGCACGGTCATGGCCACGTCAAGGGCCCGCGTGCCTCAGACCCATGGGAATGACAAGGGCCTCCTCCGATCAGCCTCAGGAAACTGGCAAAGCACTTCTCTTCTCCAAGTGAGAAGGTGGACAAATGACTGACCAGTGCGCGCAAAAGCTGGCACCTGAGCCCCCCTCCTCTGGATGCCTGCAGCCTGAGGCTGCTCGCCTACCCACAGAGCTAAGCTATCTCCTGGGCTGCACACAGGAAGTGCTCTGACATTCCGCTCTGACTCGTAGGTCTGGATTCGGGAGTGTACAGAACTTGGCAGGTTGCATTGTTTGTTCCCCGCATCAGAGCGAGCAGGGCCAACCTGAACCCAGCTTTTCTGTTCATGTGTCTGTGTGTCTGTCCTCTCGACATTTTCTTTGCCTCAGGTCCTTGGATCTGAGTTATGCTGAATATTTGGGCCATAGCATCTCTTTCTTGGCATGTGACAGCCTCACGTGGCCCCATATGAAGCGGCATCTCCCATAAGCACCAGCTCCTCCTGGAGGGCCCTGTATGCCCTGAGATCTGAGACTCCATATGGGGAAATTACGGGGATGGCCCCACCAGAAGGGGGCACTAGCTCTCAGTGCTGACTGGTTTTCCTTTCATATTAGAGTGCAAATTAACTCATGCATTTGATTGAGCTTGGCAGCCTAGGTGCTCTCAGGCCTCCTAATGCAAGGTGTGTGGTGTTATGTCTGGATTCAGGAATATACAAAACACATCTCTGCCAATTCTAGTATGTAATCTACTATCACATCCTGTGAGATTAGCCATTTTCTTGTAAGAGCTCACTTTTTTTTTTTTCTTCGAGACAGGGTTTCTCTGTGTAGCTTTGCGCCTTTCCTGGGACTCACTTGGTAGTCCAGGCTGGCCTCGAACTCACAGAGATCCGCCTGGCTCTGCCTCCCGAGTGCTGGGATTAAAGGCGTGTGCCACCACGGCCCAGCTAGAGCTCACATTTTTTAAACAAATGTCAATCAACAAACAATGATCTGTTGGTTGGCCTCGACTATGCGGAGACCAAGGTTTCTCAGTCTCACATAGTTAACATTTTGAGATGAACAATGTTTCCTTTGAGTCAAGTTGCTGTCTGTTGCGTTGTAGGGGGTTTAGCTGAATCCCTGGCCTCTGCCCATTAGATGCGAGCCAGAAGCACACACTTCCTTCCTGAATGATGGGAATTAAGAATGTCTCCAGAGTGTGCAAAGTATGTCTAGGGGATGGGGTGTGTGTGTCTGTCAGAGGGGGGACCACCTCCAGTTGCAGACCCCCACTCTAAGGAAGTGACAGGTTCCCCTTTAAAGCTGAAGACTATGTGTTTGTTTCACTGAGTCAATAATCACATTTAATTAGTCTTTACTGCATGTAAGGCACTGGCTTTTCCCGAAGCAGCTTCATTTAGACACAGAGAAAGATAGGTATGTTTACCACACTGGCATGTAGGGACATCCTAACAGCCGTCTCTACAATCCCTGTTCCTTTAGAGTTCTTGAGAGAGAATATGTGCAAAGTGGCCGAGCCCTACCAAAACAAGTGTCCCTCGGGACCGTTGTTATTATTATCCAAACCGCACGTGGACATCTAGAGCAGGGCTCATCCACCACTTTGACTGGTCTTCCCTTGGCTTCCTAGTATGCTGGTGTCACATTGCCACATCTTTCTGAAATGAGTTTACGAGAACAAGCCAGCCAACATGAGAGTTAAATCATGTGGAGCAAAGCAGTCTTGCCCAATAAGGAGTTCAAGTTCAAGGTCCAAGGTCTCCTTGACAGAGGAGCAGTGGCCTATGCACCTGGGTGGTCCGCACGTGCTATCTGTGCCTTGCATGCCCGTAGGTGCCAGTCCTGGAGGAGTGAAGGGTTCCCAGGGCTTCCTCAAGCCTGGCTCCTTATCTGGTAGACACGATCGGGGCTCCATCAGAGCAGGCCAGCAGGCAGCCTGCTTTTGATTTAACAGGGCTCCGAACAAGCCCTTGTATGACTTTCCAGGAATTAATTACAGAGCTCCGTGAAGGTGCCAGCTGCGTTGTTCCATGGATGGCTTTCTGAGTAGTCACAGCAGCCACATGGATGCCAGCAGCCGTAGAATTTCCTTGGAGGACTGCTCAAAAAAGATGGGCGTGTAGGCACAGGGAACTGCCGCCTCTACTTGAAAGAGAATTTGAAGTGAGGGAGTAATGATTCACCATCATACACTCATCTGTGACATTACAGGTGTGTGTGTGTGTGTGTGTGTGTGTGTGTGTGTGTGT